TTACGCAACGTTTTAATATGATATCAACGAACTTTTGCCGAAACTGTTCAGGGCTTAACTTAAATTTTCTCAGTAGCAGTTGTTTAACGTGCTTATAGTCGTTAGCTTTCTCTTCTGATTCACGGGCAATTAATTGAGTTATTTCATAAGGCAATAGACCCAACAGCTGAGAAACCCAGTTTTGTTCTTCTAACCCAATACGTCGTGCCTGTCTCTCAAATAAAACTAAATAGAAACTTATATCACCTTCATTCAAATCATACTTATGCATTAATTTACTCATATCACAAATATTACTTCTACTAACATTAGAAGAAACAGAATCATTTACATTACTACTTCTGATTTCCGCTTCTATTTTCAATTTTTCAAGTTCAAAAGTTCTTTGCTTATCTCTTTCTATAATTTCCATTTCAAATGCTCTTTGCTTATCTTTTTCTAAAGTTTCTAACTTTTCCCTGTCTAAACGATCATTTATAATTCTATCTAGCATTTTGTTTAGTAAAGTCTTCGTTATAATTCTTACTATTCAAAATCATATCTCTTAAGCCTACAATTTTAATATCAGAAGGGACATCTACATCAAGTTCCAAAGCAAGTTCTTTTAAATCACATTTTTTGCCTCTTGCCAAATAAGCCATCTTAGACTTCAATTTCAAATACTAATACAATAATTATACTTAAGTTCTTTCCGTTTAATACTTAGACATAACATAAACAGTTTATAAATTCACGTACCTTTCTACTTTCAGTTTTGGCGAGTTTCCACATTCAGTTTAGGCTTAGCGTACGTTAAGGCAATACGTTGTTAAATCTAGATAATAATTCTAGTTTATCCCACTTCCGAAATGTTAGCATTTAATTAGTTCCTTTATTAAAAACACATTCCGTCAAATATTAATTGTTAAATACTTGCTTTATTCAGAAACATTACCGTCAACATTACTGCTAAAAAACTTACAGTTCAAAAATCTTATCGTTCTGAAAAAAGCTGTTGTTGCCAATCGGGAAAATACATATTCAATAAAATTAATATGTTGCATTTACAAAAGATTCAATAATTTATCAGAGGAATGAAAGTTCATTACTAGAAAATTATTAATGTTGAAAAAGTTTTGAAACCATAAAAAAATTTATATACAGTCAAAAGTCGTTAATTCGGACACCCATAATCCGGACATCAAAGCTAAAAACTTTCTGCGCATGCGCCGCATTGGCAAATGCGCACAGGCATTTTACGCTTGCGCGTAATGACCTTGACTACTGCGCATATGCGTGTGCGCAAGTGCAGAATACGTTTTCGCCTGCGCGTTTAATGTATAACGGATGGTGTAAGCTAAAATTATCTAATTATCTATTTCAGTTAATGTTAATGATTGCGTTGTTCCTTAATCTTCGAATTGGATCCCGCTTATTATTTTTTGCAGACTGTAAGAGCAATTTTATAAAAGTAAACTTGAACTTTCGATTATGTCAAATAGAATATCCGATGCTGGAACTTCCAAAGGATCTACAAAACGAAAGTATGTTTCGATGTCCAACAAACAAAAAGTGGAATTGCTGCAAAAAATGGATAAAGACATGAAGAATGTGACAGAGAGGTTAGTGAAAACGAAAAAATTTCCATTGACAAGTTAGTCGGTATTCTCGGCACAGCAATTAACGGGACTTGAACAGCGGAACTTTGTAACTGAACAAGAAATTATGTCTTTTTATAGAATTAAAGAGAAAGTATTATCACATAAAACGAAGCAACTTAAACAATTTACATTGAAAGAAATGTTTAATAAAGTAAACAAATAAATATGAAGCTTTTTTTTTTTTTTTTTTTTTTTGTAAATTTTGATACCCTTTAGATCATAATTGTTCTTTATTTCATAAATTACGGTTTCATATTTTTAATTTTAGAATTTCTGCATGCCATCTTACAAGATTTAAACTGATGATCTATAATCCGGAATCGTCGAAGTCCCGACGAGTCCGGATTAACGACTTTTGACTGTATATGCAATTTCATGTTTCTTTATTGCAGATTATAAATGTCTTTCTTTGTTAATATCTATAAATAAATATGTAGGTGAATTACTCAAAAAACTTGAAATGTTTTCTTTTTTATGTTTAACTCTGGAATTATTAGTTATTTGAATATCACTGAGGAAATATATAATTATGCAGTAAAAAGAGATGAAGTTGCTTTGCATATTTAATTTTACAAACATTTTTTAATATAAAGGAATAATCATAACTGTATTACCATTTGTCATTAAATCCTTAGTGTAATAAATATGAATACCTTAATTCAAATTTTCTGTGTGAGAATTGATCTAGGTTTAGTAGTATTTATGTATGAACTAATAACTTTTGGCTTTCTGTAGCAAGCAAATGATGGTACTAATCAGCAGTCTTGATGATGTGGAATAATTATTTTTAAAAATACTTTGTATCTCTATATTAAATATGTATTTTTAGGTTGAATATTTCAATCTATTAGTTTTTTCTGCCATCTGCAATATTTATAGAGTTTTAAATGGATATTAGTATTTTACGGTAGCAATAAATAAATTCTATAGCTGGCATGTATATTATAGGACTTCATTCAAATCAGTTTTTAGTATGCATCCTTATCATTCCATGTTAAATATAAAAAAATTGAATTTTTTTTCTTTTCATCAAAAAGCATTGTGTTGAGTGCATCGATTCACATTTTTATTACAATTTATTGAAAATTCAATATTATGTTTAACAAATTTTCTAATAACATGAATATGATCCTAAAACTAATCTACCATTCAAAATGCCCAACTTTTTAGCAGTTTATTAAAAAATTTAATTTTTCTGTCCGTGTTGATGCATGATATTTCTTCAATGCAATAGTTACCTCCTTTACTTTCATCATTGATATTACCAGATTTAAATGAATTTATCAGTAAACTGGTAGAAAAAATATAAAATAAATAATAATAATGACAAAAAAAAATAATCATTTCTGTGAAGCAGAGAAAAATTTCAATGAATCATGCAAACTATTAATTTGCATATTGCATTAAGTAGATTTTTCTTGTTCAAATATTTCATGCTATGAATATATAGTCATTATGGAGATATTATGAGGGCAAAATACAATTAAAACTAATTCAATGTTTTAATTTATTTAATCTTGACAAGTTTTCTTTGATTTTTCTTCTTAATAGCATATAAATATTACTATTTTGAATTTAAAAAAATTCAAACTTTGGGATAATTTGCCCGTTGAAGCACTATTCAGCTTGAAAGTACAGTGTAGTCTCGATTATCTGGATGTGGATTATCTGTGTGTGCTAGTACCCACTCTCATTCAACACTGTGCACGAGAGTAGCAAAAGCTTAGATGAAAGTAAAACCAATAACTCTGGTTCACTCATGGAGAAAGATTCTTCACAATGCAGAAATCAGGGAATTATCTAATTGTGAAGAATTCAAGTTAGTAATCGAGGCTGTACACCAAAAAATTGAAAACATAAAATTCTTTGAAAATGTCAATTGGAAAAACATTAAGGAATGGCTCGTTGGCGATTTCACTGATCCAGGCTTTCAATTTTGAGTGATGCAGAGGTCATTTTAAATGTGACAAGAAAGGAAGAGGCAGAAAATGATATTGAAAATACAAGCAAAGAAGATACTGACAATAGTCCTGAAATAACAATGATTTTTATTCAAACTGTATTGGACTTCATCGACCGAAGGGTATTCGAACACAGTGATAAAATAGCACTTCAAAAAGTAGTCAGTGAAATTCGACAAATATTTAAATGTCTCATAAACAAAGTAAAATTGCTGATTTTTTAAAGAAGTAAATATATAAAATTTGCGTGCAATTTTTATTCAATTTTACTAATTTTTAAATTGATTTTAAATTTTTTATTAAAATATTTTAATAATTGTATTTTTGATGAAATTTTGTGTTATGTACAGCTAGTTTGTGTTTATTCCATAATGTTTGATGACAATTTTCAATTGTATTCTTAATTTTATAAAACTGCTGGTAGGGTTTTTTTATCAGCACCGTTCAGTACAAAAGTTTTTCTTAGAATTTGCATTGTTTTTTAAATTTGATAAATGTTGGCATGTTATACCTTTTTCTGTCTCACTTTCTGCAGTTCTTCTAACACTTTCATAGTCAGTTCTTGCACACATCTCAATAATTTGTGAATTGACACAATTATAAAAATGAATTTTCATAACTTCCTTCGCTGATCTCTCAAACATCAGCTATAGCTTGCAATTCCTCTGAGACTTCTACATAAAAGCCACATTTTAAACTGAATTTAGAAGATTAACCCTGTGCATTGAGTATAATATACAGGCATCTAGCAAACTATCAACTTATCTTCTTGGAAGGTTATGTTTAGCTTAAAGCACTTCACAGTGCTTTTTGTGTTGCATTCTTGCTTTGTTTTTGAGCCTCTTCTATCTGCTGCCCAGAAAGGATAGTGCTTAGTAACATTGAATGTTGTACTGAGGGGCCCCGGGTTGAATCCCAAAAAAGGCATGGTTGTGTGTAAGTGTATAGCGTCTGTCTGTGCAATAAGAAGGCATTCAAAATACACAGTGAGCTGAAATGCTTTCGATAAGGTGGTAGTAAAGGAAGAGGGTTGTGAGACCCTTAGTTTTTTTAATTTAGCGACCCTTAGTTTAGCAACTCACGGTGCTATCTTTCGCAGTTTCATACGGGACAGAAGCTTAGGATTTTACATCATTTGGCAATACCTAATATGCCTACCTGGATGTGCCTTGCTTTAACCTGCCCTTGTCTTTTCCATCTCCAGCAGGTGATTTTTCAATCATATTCTCTTATATGGTTTGTGTTGATGTTTTGTACTTACTCTCAAAGTGTGCGAGTTTTGAGACACCCTGTATATCCAGATACTTTACATATTAATTGAAGAATATATATCTGCCCAATTTTGATATTATTTTAGTTCCTTTAAATAAAAAATTCAGTAAATATATTTTTTGTATAGGGTTAATTTTAGGGAATGAAAAATGTAATTGGAAAGAATTAGCAGAAGAGAGGAGATTAATGTTAGAGAAAGCTCTGCATGAAAATGAAATGGTAAGTTTATATTGAATAATATCTTGAAACAGGTGATTTTTCAGTCATAATATTTATGGAAGAGAAAAAATAAGCTGAGACATTGTCTATTTTTATTACTTTATATTAATTCTAAAATATTAAAACCTGTGTAATTATTGATATATTTCTTTTCTTCACCTCCAAAAATAAACTACAAATCTAAATATGAAATAATTAAATAAAAATTAAATATTTATAATAGCCTATTATCAAATCTTAAGTGCAGCATATTCCATATTACAGCTACATGATCAATTAAATGTACTTCAAACTGAAAATTTCCAGTTAAAGCAGCTAGCAACAGAAGCTGAAGCTTTAGCATCAACTGTGAGGGTAAGAAAAGCCTTAAATTATGAAATAACAATAACATTTGTTTCTGCTTGCTTTGTGTATGAAAATTTATAAAATGTTATTTTTCATTTCAGGATATGATCCAGTAAAATTTAGGACAATTTATATGTTATTTAGCCTTGAAATGAGTTGCTTTTGTCAAGTCCTCTTTGATTGTGATTTTCTAGGGAAAAAATAAATAAATAACTTTAAAAGTTTATTGTGATTATGAGGAACGGAATTTTGAATATTAATTTAGCTTAATAAACTGTCATTCATATAGTCTACTTGAATGGTAAAAAAACTATATTTTAAGTATAAATGTTTTTATTGATTTATGATAATGCAATAATTTCTATTATGTTCTTGGATGATAACGTAAATTATTAAGTATATATTAAAAGCAATTTTAAAATATATTTTCACTAAACTTCTATTTTAACTTCTTAGAAACAAAGTTAACGAAGCAAATAAACTATCTAATTTTACCTGGTGAAAATATACATTCATGTGCAAAATTAAGAATTGAGAATTTGCATGTCAAATTTCTGAAAAACTAATGAACTGATTTTAATGAAATTGGTGTGAATATATATCTACAACAGAAGAGGTGTACCATTCAAAAGTCATTTTATATATGCATGATTATCAGTAATGCTCAGAGTACAGAGATGTCCAAAATCCATACTGTGATACTGAACTGAAAATGAATCTAATATGGGGTATGGTCTACTTCACAAACAGAATGATGGCATACTGGAATAGGAGGCAACTGAGGAGTCCCTGTAGTAGTTAATCCCATTTCTGCAGCAAGACTATCTTCAACTCCAGAATGATTCTCGAAGAAGGAAGGCAAGATGAAATTGCCCTCCCAAACATGCTGTATAATAAAGCGACCATACGTCCTGAATTTTCGGTACCTGTCCCGATTTTTCACAACTCGTATTTTACTCCTGAATTTATAATCATTTGTCCCCCAAAAAAGTAGTGTGAGAAAGTAAAAAGTTTAAATGCCTATATTTATTTAAGTAATGTAGACTACGAACTGAGAATACAAGCATAAGTTAAGAGCATAAGCCCCATACCAGCCCATGAACCATAGAAGCGTTTACCATAGAAAATTGTTGTGTGTGTGTAAGGGGGGGTTATTTCTCATTTCTCTTCCCAATCTTCAAACATACACTAAATTTTTGTTAACAGCTCAGACTTTCACTTACCACACAACTCTGCAGTTTTTAATTGATATATTTATTTGATTGTAATTTGAATTTACAATACAGTACAAAGTCCGTAATCTGGACGTCCATTATCCGGAATGATCTATAATCTGGACCCCAAAGCCACAAACTTACACAGGGTTCGTAGCTGTCCTTACAAGTGCTTATAAGTCCTTATATTTGAAAATAAAATATAAAGGCCCTTATAGGTGCTTGCTTTTTCTTTAAAGCCCTTATTTTTTTGTTTTTAGTGCTTATTTTTTGCTTTTAGTGCTTTTTTTAATGAACGCGCATTTTTTCCCCGTACCAAAGCCGAAACTAAATAAACAACTTTTCTTCCTTATATGCAACGTCAGATGGTGAATCATACTCCCGAAAATTGCTTTCCCCCCCTTTCTCTGCATTAACGTAACCTATGGTGCGCGCAAGAGTACAGACTGGTGCACGTCGTTCTATTGGTCAAAGAATTGCAAAAAGCGTATAAAATTCCGGTACATTCTGTATTCTTTTCCTCCCATCCAAATACTACACTCGTTTGAATTTCTATCAAGATTTTAATAATTTGCATTCTCGTTCCGCGTGGTCAGTTCATATTCGTGTTCATTATGATCATTATGCTTATATTACGAGCATATGAATGAATATTTATAATAATATAGTTGCAATAACTGCTGAAGTATAGATAAACTTCCAAAAATGGGTGTGTTTTTACACAGATTAGATTTCTAAGGAATAATATTCGGAATGGCTTAAGTAAAAGTCAAAAAAATTTTTTTTTTTTTTTTTTTTTTTTTTTTGCCAATATATTATACAGTACGGAGGTTCTCCCCTTCCTCCACAAAATCTCTGATATTGAAGCAGCAGGCTTCTTTTTTTTTTTTTTTTTTTTTGTCACTGTCCAATCTGGATTGAATAGGACTAAAAGTTTTGCGGTCTACCCAACCTAAGCGAAGATTGATTCTGTTCCGGAAATTTAACGCAGTCGGTTGAAAATTAGAATCAGAAACACCCCAGATTAGTAAGTCTCTTTCTTTTCCTTTATTTAGTTCTTTATTCTCCGAATACTGGCAGCTGTTGATTGCGAATGCGTAATATCACATGTGGAAGAATAACCCCGCACGTATTGCGCAATAACGTTTGCGGTATTTTGCAGAGATAATTAATTTTGATGTTCAGTCCGAGAATTGTTTATGGACACTTAAAAGAGTTTTATTATGCTTTCTAAGCAGAATATTTTTCAGTTCCGTTGGTCTATTTTTATATGATGCACATATCGAAATGTCAAAATCATTTATTTAGCCGAGAAATCTAAAGAACGGCTACAATCTCCCCCACTCCTCTTTTTCCAGTTACTATCCGGAATATTCGTCAATTTCCAAGTATGCGGGTTAATTAAGCTTTTACTGTTAAAGGATGGCTGCATGAGGCAATTTCCTCTCTTCTGATTTCAGAAATGTGCCTCTCTTTACTTAAATTACTTTGCTTGGAATATATGTTAAGGGAAAACTATTATTCAATGAAAATTTAGAAAATGTTCAGAATTTTGATTTAAGTTAAATTATTTAAATATTAATATGAGTGGAAAAATAAATTGTATTTATTATTAGGTTCCAAACGAATACAATTAATATGGCTTATTGTTATTTATTTTCTATATTTTGAACTGAAATTCCAATACTCATTCTCTTAATGAATATTGCATTGCTCATATTTTAAATTACAAGTCTAATTTTTCTTTTCAGGTTATGCAGTTGTATGTAATGTAATTAGACAGGTGCTTATTTTTTCCTTAAAATGTGCTTGAAAAGTGCTTATTTTTTAAACTAAAATGTGGCTACGAACCCTGTTACAAATGCGTGTAAAGCGTTTACCCTTGCGCACTTCTGATAGAAAGTGACAAAGAGGTTATTGAAAACAAAAAAATTTCGATTAACAAGTTAGTCGGTATTCTCGACACAGCAATTACACGACTTGAACAGTGGAACTTTGTAACTGAACAAGAAATTATGTCTGTTTATAGAATTAAAGAGAAAGTATTAGCACAAAAGCTAAACAATTTACATTGAAAGAAATATTTAATCAGGTAAACAAATAAATATTTAGCTTTTTTTTGTAAATTTTGATACTCTTTAGATCATAATTGCTCTTTATTTCATAAATTATGGTTTCATATTTTTGATTGTATAATTTCTGCCTGCCATCTTACCAGATTTAAATTGGTGATCTATAATCCGGAAAAACCCCTAATCCGGAATTGCCAAAGTCCTGACAATTCCGGATTACGGACTTTGTACTGTATATCCATATTTTTTTCAATTATCACTTGTCAGCCATTTGTCATTTTCAATTACCACTTATCAGCCACTTGTGTGCTCCTTGATAGCCCAAGCCCATGAAATTTCTTGTGGCAAGGAGCACTAGAATACGCCTGCTGTTGGCAACAGTTTTGAGCATCATTCAGGTGACAGTGCGATTTAGCTCAGTTCGCCTTCAATTTTGATGGAGAGCACCCCGGGGAACAAGTCCGAGGGTCTCTCACCCTCTTCCCTTCCACCCAACCACACAAGAGGAGTTTCAGCTTGCTGCATATTTAGAGTGCTGCCATGCTGCACTGACACTATACGTTTACAAACATCTATGCTTTCTCCGAGATTCAAACCCAGGCCCTTCGGCACGGCACTTAGCGACGCTAACCCCTATAACGGTTAGGCTGCACATACTGCTAAGTGTATGTTTTACTACAGTTTAATTTAATTAATTATTTATTTTACTTTTTTTAGTAATGTGTTAAAAAAGTGTACATTTAACAAAGACCTACAAAAGGAATATCCCTTTATCGAAAAAAAATCTAGAAATGATACCAACGTACGGTGCAATATATGTTCTCGAAAATTTTCAATAAGCTATGGCGGATGTCAATATATTAAATTCATATAAATAGCAATAAACATAGGATGAAATGAATGATGAGGAAGAAGAATTAGCTGCAGTAAAACAGGGTTGCCACTCAAACAGGAGAATGAAATTCCCTGACTTTTCCAGTTTTTCCAGGTGTGTTTCAAGAAAATTCCAGTCTATCCACGTAATGTACATTGGCTGTGCTAAGAGGTAAATTAATTATGGTATTACTTGTATTGTGTAGCAAATTCACTTAATTATTCAATAAATCCCAGAGGACATTTATTCTTAATTATTCTTGGTATACTTTGTTTGATAATTTTGTTTAGTTTTCACTTAAGAAACTTAATAAAATTTAAGATATATATATTGGATAACAAATGTATGTTTTAATTAATTATTACTCATGATCATCACCAGTTCAACACGAGGCTAATCCGGTCCTTAAAATCACAACGCAATGCTAAATAGTTAGGTTAGATTTTAGGTAAATTTAATTTGCGTGAGGTATGTTCTTAAAAGGCACCTTAACACTTTGAAAACACAAATATAATTATAATAGTTGTTGTTTTCCTCCACTGAAGATTGAGATTAGAATCTTCCCAATCTGGAATAAAATAAGGCTTTTTTTGCAGACATTCTGCAGCTAAACGAAAGAAAGAAATCTATTTTAATAAATTGAGGTATTATATATTTATTTCGCAGCATACATAAGGAAAAATATGTGCATTAAATTTCGTGATGGTATGTCATCATACTGCTATAGTTAATTTCAGGATTATGCCAGAGAAAATTTCCTGAAATTTGGAAATATTATTTACTAATAATAAATGAATTTAGAGGGAAGAAGCAACATTAAATTATATGAATAACATAAAAATAATTACTTAAAAATTGAATTAGAATAATCAATGATATTTTAGCGAAGATAGTTATATTACATGGCTAGCCTAGATGACTGATTACTATTTTTTTATTTTACTGCAAAATGGCAAGGTATTTATTAAAAAGAAAAAAAAAAAAAAAAGGGTTAAAAAAGATTTTGCGGTAAAATTCTAGTATACGGTAAGGCTTTGGCACGATTTTGAAAATTGTCGCCAAGACCAAAATGACCCGT